CTTAATCCCGTGTAGACGTTGTTTTATTTCCCAATACAGCTCGTACCAAATAAAACGCGGGTTCTTTCGGATTACGATTATTACAATGATTTTATCCACACAACTTTACCTTGCACTTTACTTTACTCGACGGTTTCAATTCGCGATCTGATTCACAACTGACTCACTGCCTTTCCATTTCCCCTATTTATATGAGCCTTGCTTGTCGCTACAGAAGTTTCTAGGCGATCTGGTAACACCTAGATTACGAACAATCTACAAATGCAACAAACACATACATGGTACAATTATAAAAGGTAACAGCAAATCCCAGCTGATTTGATTCCAACGTAATACTAGTGTCAATAAGAATTTGACAAATTATGTTTTTAAAAATCACCCAACAGGAAAATTGGGAACGCATACAATTTGAAATTGTTCTTTATTAAATGTGCTCTTGTATTCAATTTACTCAATCTGCCTGCTGGGAAAGTTTGAGGAAGCAAATCTTTCTTCAAGGAATAACTCGCTATTCCCAGCATTTTCATATGTGTTACACATATAAGTGGCAATGGCTCAATTATAGGAAAGATATGGAAGCGATAGAAATATAAATTTGATACATTTTCATTCATGTTTTTCAATTTTTATTTTGAGGATTCGAAAATATTTCATTTTCAAAATAAAAATAATTTGATGATAATTTGTTTGTTTGTTTACATTTTTCTGTCAAATGAGTTGACACTAGTAGAACTTACAATAACAAATTTCCATGTGGTTGTTGTATCGTTTTTTGTACAACAACACTTGCTGTTACCTTCTATTGTTATACCATGAAACACATACAACCTTACAGTGAGTAAACAATAACAACAACACATATACAGGCGAGGGGGTAACAAAGAAAGAGGAATTAAGCGATCATCAATGATGACGTTTAACAAGAATTGTACGTCAATAACAAAATAGAAAATAAAAGAGGAAATGGAAGGATGTAGAAAAATCTATACAGTAGTTGTTGTTGTGAAGTTATTCGAATAAACTGCGTAGTAGAAATTTACGTTACAATTCAAATTCTTAAATTAACGGAATTCATCTAAATTAACTTCAATCTAAAGTTATATTCGTAACAGTATGTATTTGAGTATTTCTTTTGTTGGTTGATGTAGTTTTTGTTAACACATTTTCTTAGAACTTTCCTTTCTAGTATTTCCAATTCATTGGCCACTATCGGTGAAATAGTAAACCAGATTGGAAAGCCATATACCAAGATGGATCTTATTGCAACTTTGTAAAGAAGCAGTTTTGTGTTTTCGGGTAAGTACTTGTTGTTTAGTATGTAAGAAAACTTTCCTAATATTCTTTTTGTCTTTTGCATGGTGTTACGGACATGTGAGTTAAACTTCATTAGATTGTTGAAATGCACTCCGAGGTACTTTACAGTGGTTTTAAAAGGTATTTCCACGCCATCTAAGGACAGTTGTAGTCGTTTACTTTCTGGTACTACATTTTTGGGACACTTCCCAGAGGCGTTGTGTATGCATATTGCAGCTGACTTTGAGGCGTTGATTTTAATGCCCCATTTCTTATAATACTCGTTGATGACATGGAGATGGGATTCAGCTTTGTTTAAAGCGATATGTGGAGACGACCCATAGGCGTAAATCAGACAGTCGTCGGCATATAATATTGCTTGTGAACTGTTGATAATGTGTGGAAAGTCATGCAGAAATATATTAAAAAGATAAGGAGCTAAAATGCTTCCTTGTGGAACACCACTGTTTACCAATCCTGGTGACGACAATACGTCTTTAATTTGCACCACAAAACATTGAAGAATTTTAACCAGTTATGGATCTACCCCGATTTCTATTAATTTATAAAGGATTCCAAGATGGCAAACCGAGTCAAATGCTTTTTGAATATCCAAAGATATTGCTCTGTGCATACTTGATTTCTCAAGCTAGATGTTATGTCGCTATAAAATTTAAGCAAAGCATGTTGAGTAGAGTGCCCAGGCCTGAATCCAAACTGGTAATCTGAAATTGGGTTTATTGGTAGTCCTGTTTCCATTTTTTTCTTTTAAGACCGCTTCAAATAATTTGCCGACGTTGGACAGGAGCGAAATAGGACGAAAGTCATTTGGAGAGGTACTATTCGATTTCTTTTTGATGGGTACTATTTTTGCCTGTTTCCATTGTAGTGGAAAATAACCGTTGTTGATACAATGGTTAAATAAACAAGTAAGGAGTTTGATGGTCCAGTCCGGGAATTGTCTGATGATAAAGTTTGAAATTCCGTCTGGACCACGTGATTTTTTGTGTTGATGTTGGCTATAATATGTTTTATTTTTTCAGCTGATGTGAAATGGAAGCTATCCAAACTGCTTAAAGCGGCAAAGTTACTATCAAAGGAATAGATATGAGCCGTGGTGGTGTCAATGCAAGCAGCGACTCTAGAATCAATGTCGTCAACTGGATTTAATGGAATGGTTTCTCTAAGGATTGATGAATAAAATGATTGAAAATGACTTGCGATTTCAGAGCTGTTTGTTATAATATTGTCGTCATGGTGAAGTTTATGACAAAACGCAGAATTGTTTTTCCCGGTAAATTGGGAAATTTCCTTAAATGCAGACGGACCTGCTTTGATGTTTTTAAGTTTGTTATTAAAATGTTGAGCAGATTCAATGTTCATAAGTTCTTTTATAATATTTCTCAAAAGCTGCACTTGTTTAGAGAGTATTAAATACTCTCGGCTGGTTCTGTTTCCGTTGCGATGGAAGATTTTTTTTAGTTCTTTTTGCCACATATGTTTAATATTGAGAAATTTTTTAATCTTATCGGATAACGGTGGCTTACCTTCGTTTAATTGGATTCGTTGCGTATGTGCACCATGAATTCTAGAGAATTCTCTATTGAAGTTCTCTACGACCGCATCAATTTCATCGTTCTCCAAATTTCTGTTTATCGGTGGCATTATTTCTTGAGAAGCTAAGTTTAGATCCTGGCTAAAATCTGGCCAACTTGTATTTTTATACGATATAATGAATCGTGGTTGTGTTAGCATTAAGCTGGAACATTGCCATTTTAAAACTAGCTCTATTGGAAAGTGATCGGAAAATGTCGATATGGTAGAAATTTTGTAATTTTGATTACGAAGTTAGAACTTATTAAAAAGTGGTCCAAAAAGGAGGATCCATTCGGATAAGAAGGAGTAGAGTCGCAGAGCCGAATTATATCCAAACAGTTATCATCAAGCCATGTGCTTAAAACTTTTTCATAAAAGTCTCCCCAAATAGGGATTTTAGAGTTGAGGTCCCCTCCAAACACAAATCCATCGAATTTTTTGCTAAATTGGAGTAATTTGTTTAAGTCAGCCTCTAGTTTATTAACAGGATAGCCGCAGGGAATATATACCGATCCAATTAAGTACTTTTTCGGACAATTATTTGTAACTGCTTCTATTTGCACAAGTGTAGTATTTATGCCAATATCATTAAAATGAATTCGTGTAAAATTTATGTTGTTTTTTAGTATGACTGCTACGCCCAATGGAGAATAATCAAAAATAAAGCTTTTTTAGGTGACATTCTTGAACCATTGCTATGTCAACTTTATTGTTGTGGAGCATATTCCTTAGTTCAATCTGACGGCTAGCATCGACTAATGACCTTACGTTAAATGTCAAAAATGTAATGGCTCTATGATCCATAATTACATTTTACTTTTGTTAGAAGCCTTAAGAATTCTTTTTTAGCTTCGGTCTTTGGCAAATTTCTATATTCATTTAAGAATCTTTGAATTTCTTGCTCCAGGGTTAATTCTTCTGGCTCAAGAAAGAAGTTGGCTAGTTTTAAAAACTCTTGAATAAATGAAGGTTTTTGCCCATTTTCTGTGTAGCTGACTGGCGATGGTTTGAATAAACTGGCAAATGTTTTCCCCGGTGATAGTATTGACAAGTTCAAAGCACTTCGTTGACATTCTCCAGGTAGGTGAATTTGATTGCATTTGATGCAATTATAAGCCGAATTACAATTTCGAGATATATGGCCCCATCGTTGGCATCTATGACATTGGGTGACTACACCTCTCTTTTTCGGTTTCTCCCATGTTATTGTCTGTCTTTGCACTTCCTTAATGTGGGTGACTTCTCCAAACTTTTTGCCTGGGCACAATGATACCAGGAAGAGCCCAGTGTCAATATTATTTTTAATAGACATGGGGGTTTTGAATTTTGTTACACTTGCTACACATTCTGGTACTAGTATATCAAGCTCTTGTTTGATGGTCTCAGAATCTATATAGGAATATAGTCCTCGTATGATCAGTGACGTTTGTTTCAGTTCCTTAGGCGTGAATGAGTATGACTGTATATTTTTAGCTTTTAGTAAAGCCATCATTGACGTATGTACTTTTGGGTCTGCAAAATACAGCTTACTTTTTGTTTTGTTGACATTTTTTATTTTAAAAATGCAATCCGGAAGCTTTTCTTTTAATGTCTCCACTAACGCTTTAATGTTGAAATTAAAAACGAATATCGGTGGGCACCAGGGGGTTTGTTTTTGGGTTCGCCATCTTTGTTATTTTTGGATTTAGGAACGTCAGGTGTGTGATTAGCCACCCGTATGTCTACGTCCGATAGAGCATCTAAGATGCTGTATTTATTTGGATCTTGTGGATTATGCTTTGATAATCGTTCGTTAAGATCCGATATGTCTATGTTTATTGGTGATAATACGCTTTCAATCCTTTGTCGTTTGCGTTCATTTTGTATCTTTGTTTTAGTTGATTCTAATGTCGGTATAGGAGGGTCAGAAGTCGATGCCAAAACTTCTGAAACATCAAAATCCATATCAGGAAGAGTGTCAGGCATCTCCATTGCAGTAAAATGCAAGTAGAGCGCCTGAAGATATATTGGTAATATTTAAATCCAAGAAAATACAATTTGTTTTGGACAGATACAATTAGTACGTCTGGTAAGTTGAAACGTTGCCACACTTTTCTAAACAAATTAACCCTCAATAGCCTGACTTTTTCTTTTTCAATGAAAAAATTTTATATGATGTATTTTAGGACCCTTAACAATGTTTGTTCTACGACTTTTCACAATTTTGAGTTTTGGACATTTTAGGGGAGGTTTTGTGTGTTGGTTCTTTGAAGAACCACCAGGCACTCCTTTGACAAGTAAAATGCATATGGTCTATATATGATTTTTTTTATTTTCATTTAAATTATATATATTTCAGTTCATTTATTCAATGTTTTGTATGATATTCTAGAAAGCAGTTTTTTGTTGATTGGAAACATAATTCTACCTCACATTTAATGCAATACACTGTTGTTCTAGATGTGCAATTGGGCATTTTACAGCGAGGTTTGCCTGTTGTTAGGTATTTCGGGAAGTGCCCAACATTATCAAACCGCACGTCACTAGGCGGCATTACTACCCGAACTCGTTTTGGCACATTTTCAGGGGTCTCACATTCTCCAGTGCTTCTTGGACGACCTTGTGTGCCAGATTTGACTAAAACTTTGCTGACGTCTACGATAAATTCGTGCAAAGTCAGCATGTTATTTGTACGAGGAGATGAAGAGAATTGGCGTTTATATAAAATCCATGCATTTATCATGGCCATGTCCATCATATGGTATATAAGACGATTTGTCCATTTGCGTGACTTTATTCTTATGCGGCTTCTACCAAAGCACGAATCCATAAGATCAACACCTCCCATGTACTTGTTGTACTCGTGGATTATCGCAGGGCACTGAATATTTACGTTACACTTATTTTTTTTTTTGTCAAATCTAAAGAAAAAAAAATATATTCAGTAAGTATTTGTTGAAAGTATAAAATACCTGGCAATCGTAGGCGCGTCATCAGTGTCGTTTGCATTTGTCGATTTCAATTGCTTGATGCCAAGCAAAGTCGATGCCATATTTACAACTTTGTTGTCCCTCCATGCTATAGTAGTTATATCTATACCATGAATACTGGTCATATATTCTTCGCAGTCTCCTCGATTGGGTAATTTTTCTGGCAATTTGCAGCCAGGAATTCGGTTACGTCGAACTGTTCCAAGCCCATAGATTCCCTGGGTGCGTAAATAAGCCAATAAAGGAATAGTTGTGTAATAGTTATCGAAGAAAATTCTGTAGTTCTTGAAACGCGGAACTCTACGAGCAAGCCGCACCACAACATTTGCTGCTGCTCCCAAATCTGGTTCATTTTCCAAAACATGGTCTTCATTGCCAGAATAAATTTCAAAATTATAGCAGAATCCCATATCGTCACACATCAAAAATAACTTATTGCCCCACGGGTGAGGCTTGTCTGGCAAGTATTGTTTCAAATAGTGCTTAATTTTTGTGGCACAAATTTGTTCATCCACACACAAACGACTTCTTTTTGGAACAGAGTCAAAGTTTCTATTTAAAGCATCAATAAGCGGACGAATTTTATATAAACGATCAATGTTTGAGGAATCAGTGTTTTGTGGACGCAATCCTCGTCGACGTGAAGGAGCTGGTTCTTGAGCTGACGGACGTGGCATCTTACTGTTGTTATTTAGATGCAAAAACTGGCGTACCTTGTCATATCGATTTCTCGTCATGGTATTCATAATAGCCGGTATGCCAAATTCACCCCAATATGTCCTGATACTTGGGTACTTGAAGACGGACATAAAATATGTAATGCCAAAAAAGCGTTTTATTTCGTCTGGCGTTGTATTTAGAGGTTTCAATGAATCCTTTTGAATTGCGTACAAATTGCTTTGGCCTACAATATTAGAAATTATATCGTCATTTACAAAGAAAAAAATTTGAAAGGTGTATCTAGTGCCATTATTTCTGTTGTCAATTCAGAATCGCTGCCAAACTGAACCCAACTAGCATGATTCTGCATATGGTTTTTCTTCCAGATACATTTTTTAAACTCGGAAGAGTCCTTGTCAATTGTGATATCTTTGTAAAATGTTGCAATTTGATGCCAGCGTGTGCTATCTCCAGTAACAACTATATCTTCATTTTGAACACTCTCAACAGCAGTTGGTTCCACACTCACAACTTGTTCAGCATCTAATTCGTTCCCATTTTCGAACACATCATCTTCCAACTGATCAGTGATATTCGCATCATTATTTGTCACTATATTGAAATCGGGATCGTCTAGACTGTCGTCGTCATAATCTGATATATCGCCAATTTCACTTTCTGACCATTCAAAATCATTGACGAATGCTTCAAACTCTTCAGCCGTGGTAAAATCTTTGTATTTACGTGGCATTTTTCTATGAAAAATTAAAAATTAACACTAAAATAAGAAAAAGACGCTAAAGCACTAACGAATTTCACTTCTCTAATGAGTGCCTACTGGTTCTTTGAAGGACCAAAGGACTTTTACATGAAAAACACAAATAAAAAAAATTTATATTGTTAAAAAGATATTTACATGGTTTGAATATAGTGCACAAATAATAAAAATTAATTTTATTTGGTTCTTTTGGATCAAAAGTTTTGATTTCAATCAATTTGAAAAAGCACGATTTGTTCACTTTGAAGCTTTTGTGTGTTTTTCTGATAAACGTCAAAAATCAGCTGTTCAGCACCGAAAAGCATATGATTTTCTTTTCCGCTAGATGGCATACATTATAAAGAGAATATTTGCTGAATAAACATTGCGCAAAAAAGTAACATTTTTGAAAAACAAGTCTCTAAAGTTGAGGTTCCTGAAGGGACCACCAGGCTATTAAGGGTTAAAATAATATTACATAGTTTACCACACACTTTCTTAATGAGTGAAAATGAATGCTTCAAGTTTATTTTAAATACCACTGAAACTTGATAATTTTTTTTTTGTTGATTTTTGTTTTTTCTAAGCTAAGACTTGAAGTTATTCACTAACCAAAACTAGCCCTTCTCAATTAATAATCTGTGTGATACCGCCAAAAAGAAAATAGGTATATCACATAGCCCAAACATACTCTACCATTCACATGCTACATGTGTACAAGAAACTATTTAAGAAAAATGTTCACATTTTGTTATTTATTACTCTGTATTACAACCATAATTCTTATATACTGCAATTTGTATAATTACTTCGGCTGGTATGAGTATACGTAGTGAGCAATCGGTTGGTTGTCCTGAAGCGTTTGGTTTGTTACCCTAGAAGTATCAGTACTTGCACTCGAACATATGGATTGGTCAACTGCAACAGTCACCGGGCTTGATATTGTAGACGAAGCTGCAGCCTTTTCGTTTGCCTCCTTCTCGCAGATAGCTCTCAATTCAAATTCGCTTAGAAGCTGTGACACTCTGCTTTTAAGTTCTGCTGCCAGTTTAGGAGGTAAACTCTTAACTGAAGCCGCAGCAGACTCAAAAAACAAATCAAAGCTGTCCTTAGGTGGTTGTCGTGGCATATAAAAGTAATCACCCATTTCTCTAACCTGTTCTCGATCCCTTTTAACAGAATGATGAATTACACTAGTATCAAATGTTGAAGATTGTGCCGGTGTCTTCTCAGTCTTTGGACGCTTATATGACGGCTTCTTCAATTTAACATTTTCTAAATCTTTGTATGGTATAAATTTAGCTGGTTCCACTTTTATAGTTGTGTATTCAACATGTTCGTCGTCGAGCATCATTTCGTCTTCACTGTTAAAATCACATATTATTTTCATGTTTCTAACTGATGAACAATTACTTACAAGTCATGGTCTATGTCATTTTCCAAATAACCACTGGTATGAGCCTCAATTAAATCAGCTTCAGGTTCATTAAAAGAATTGATGTTTTCGAAGCCCTGAAGTCTCATATGTTTAAATGTTTTCTGATGTCTCTCCAAATGGGTTCTTTTACACACGAGATCTCTGCGACAAACCGTACAATATCCAACAGAACTATCCCTTTCGCTAGGCACAAGCCATGGGAAATCTTGTCCCCATTTAAGACAGAATTTTCGTCGCCTTTGTTGTGGGTCCTCGATTTGTCGTACTCTTGTCTTGGTGATAGGTTTTTGCACATTCTTCTCAATGTTTTCACTACAATGATAGGACCATGTTAAATAATAACAATAATAGATGTACGTTGTAAATGTATTAACTTTTCATAACTAAGGTGCTAAACCTATTTTCTAAGAAAAGTGGCTGTACTTTGGCTGAGGTTTTGTTGTTTAGGATTCACCAAAAATCGGGTGCAAGTCCAAAGACCGATTTGTTGGTGAATAACACTCTGAATTTGTTTGAATATAATAAATGTGGAAAAATCCGATACTCAACAAAACATAATATTTTATATATGGTTGAATCATGAAAATATAGGAATAAATTCACGAAGTCGTTCTGAGTGGTCCGATACTTAGAACTGAGAATTATTATATTAGTTTTACTATATTGCCATGACATAATTTTAAGACTCAACATATATATAATGATTAGAGTGTTCATAAACATAAATCAGTCGAAAAAACGCCAATTCAAACAATTTAATCAAAAAACGGAAAGTACTTACCATTTTATAAATACCTCTTCTACTTGTACATCAGAATTCGAAGTGTACGCATCATTTAGTTCCCCATCACAGTTCATCTTCCAAATTATTTTCTTCTTCAGTGTCCGTTCGAAAGTGCACAAAAATAAGGCCTCGTACAATAAAAAGTATATTGGGTACACCTAGTTTCACACAAACTGTGGTACGGCAGAAGTTGTGCTGACACTTTTCAACAATATATAGTGCAACACTGTGGCGCGCTTTGATCTCAAATTATATAGAGTTTTCAATAGCCAACAAGTTTTAAATACAACAAATAGTAGCGAAATAAAATATATAAAAAGTAATTTCTTAACACATTAACAGAAAAGTGCTACACTGGTTCTTTACAGCTGATACTAAAGATTCGTTTATGTTCATGTGTGCTACTTAGTCAAAAAGTGTTCCAAGACAGGGTTGCCACAAAATGCCTAACTGGAAGATGATGTATATTTTTCTATTTGTGAGAATCTGTAGTCGCAATAGCAAATACAAATCAACAAAGATATATTTTCCTGTATTCACAGACCTTTAAGACATCGAAAGAAAATGCAGTAATGGATCAATGCAGTTGGGAATCTTTACAGTACTTGTTTTTTGATATATCATCATTTATTGTTTTTTCCCCCTATATATGTCAAATATCAGAAGATTTTGGTAGATGTTTTGTGTAGTGTATTTGAAATAAATAAAATAAATTTATGCAGGAGAAACTGATTTTTGCAATAGTTCACAGCAAGATTGTTCCTACACTAAAGTACCAAACCTACAAATATGGCATCACTGACATACACTGTTGTTAATGAACAACAGCAACAGCGTCGCAGATTGAAACTGGAACTTCTTTAAAGGAATTGTAGGATGTAAGACTATCACATTATTTGTACACCGCCCATTCCTATATTTTTATATTATTCAGGGATATATTGGAAGACAATGGCGCTCTCAATGTCGTTAAGGAGGCAAGGGCTTCTTCGCAAGACGATTCTACATCGCAAGGTATTATCAATGATGAATCTATGATCGTGGAAGCTTTAAATGACTCCACTGCAGAGCAGAATGAGTTGGTATCCAATACCATGGAAACAAACGACCACGATGGCTCTGCGGAAAATGATAACTACCAAACATTGGATATCTCAGGAAACGGAAACAGAACGGAGTTTGTCGTCGTTTCTAGTACATCAATAGTTTGTGAAGATTTGCCCCCTAATGCCGATGGGGGCATAAAAGATGAATTGACTGAGCCTATAACTAATGTTATTACTATAAGCGACGTTTATGAAAACGATCCTATGGATTTGTTAGTATTTAATGGCCGTGGCGATGTTAACAGCTCAAAGTCGAATGAAGAAGAGGGTGATAATGAGGAGCCCTTCGACGATTTCAGCTCAAATGGTTCATCGTCTACCCACGGTACTTCTCTGTCATCGATTATTAAGGAATGGTGCAAGGATTATCCATGGTTATTGTACGACGAAATTGATGAAGGATTCGGATACTGCTTGCATTGTGATGTTCGGTTAAGTGTGCGTTCGCCAAGCTACATAAAGCAGCACAGTATGTCACTTTATCACAAGGAAAGGAGTGACAATTACCTGTCCTTTCGAGAGGAGGAAGAACGGAACAATATTGGGTAAACGTTCTGTAGATAAAAACATTATCGTAAGCTGATAATATGTAACCGTGTTTCATATGTTGGCATATTGTAAAATGCCATAGGGGCAATCACTAAAGAATGCGCTATACGGAGAAATTGTAAATCTAGATGACTTATTTCACTAAAATACATGTAAAATTGGGATAGACGTTCGGCCAACAGCATTGGTAATGTTTTCGGAACACCCATATTTCCCGACTTATACACACACTTTAAAACATTTACGCCTATAAATGCATCTTTAAATTATAGATTTCGATGCACTAATAAAATTGGTAATTCTATGATGAATTTGGCGATTTATAATTTAAATATAACTTGAGGCATTTGTCAGTATGTATATTTCTTGGAGTTCATTAAAATATATCCAACATATGCGACTATAATAAAGAAACACGGATACATATTCTACGTCATTCGATAAGTCGACATTGTTGGGGTTTCTACACATACTAATGTATATGTTTCATTAAAGTACACCTTTGCCCGAGATTAAACAGGAGTTTGGCACGGAAAGCTATGTAGCGGCATTAAGATTAAAACGCAAAAGTCAAGCTGAAGCACTTAACAATTACAACTGGCGACGTTGGTTGAAGGAGTATCCATGGCTGGAACGTGATAGCACTACTGGCACCATCGGTCTCTGCAAATATTGCAATGTTCGTATAAACGTTGAATTTTCATATTTACGAACGCGGCATCAGGAAACAGCAAAGCATAAGGAAAACGAAAAGGAGTATAACAGCGCGCAGCAGGATAATAGTTCTCTAAATAAATCAAATAGCCAACAAAGTAAAATAAAAAGGTAATTATATTTCCAAGTTATCATTGATACTATCAAACTGAAGGTTTATCCGAATATTCGAACCAAATCGTTATTTTTATTCATTGTTTATAAATCGAGGACAGTGCAGTAAGTGAATGAGGAAGCATGTACCTTGTGAATATTTGGAATATATTTAATACTTTTATGTTATATAATTATGTACTTGGTGTTGATTGTTTCAAAACGTTTACATATTATTAGCAACAAAGACTTGAGTGAAGCTGTTCACGAACAATTTGCCGCATTGCGATGCAAAATATGTGACATAACAGTTGCGAAAAATAATTTCAAGCGCCACTTACGCACCAATTTGCACATGCAAAAAGAATCGGAATATGTTAAAAGTAAAAAACCTAAGAAAAATAAGAGGTGGGTTTTTCCGTTTAAAAATATGTCTATGCATTTAATACTGGTATCTCTCACAGAAAAAAGTCGAATGAGAGTGACTCGACTTCTCAGGCATCACATCAGTGGCACGTCTATGCCAAAAAACATCCGTGGCTTATTGCAGACCCCTCTGACGAAACACAGGCCTACTGCAAGTACTGTGAAAAGCGAGTGATGTACGGAAATTCTGTCGCAAAACGGACTACACATGAGAACAGTGCTTACCATAAAAATAAGGAAAGAAATATAAATGGTAACGACAGTAGAGAAGAGGAAAGGTCCAATAATGACGAAAATAGTGTCGAAGAGGAAAACAACGATGATGAATCAACTGATGAAAACAATACTGAAATCGAAGATGATGATGATGACCGGCATGAAGATAATGACGAAGCGAGTGAAGCTTCGGATGATGAACCTGAAGAAGATGCAGTTAAGGACCATGACAACCGCAAAAAAGGCGGCGATCATAACGAGTCTAATCGAACCGAAAATAATGAACAAGATAATGACGATGACAACAATGAGTCTAGGTAAGTTTTTAATTTAAATTTTTAATAAACATGCATATGTATTTCATATACAATACAAAATTGCATATTGTTTTGGTAAAATCATCATAAGAAAAAGTGTAGTTTGATTATGTACATATATTCCTGAAACAATATCTCGGTCCTCTACACATCCAACATATATACAAAATTTAACAGATAATTTATGTTACTTATAACCTGCAAGGTCTACGTTCTTAGAGAATCAGAAGACAGTTTAGTTGGCTTAGTGGGCCGGTTGAAGATGTTGTTGTTGTTGTAGCAACGGAAATACAATAAGGGAATGCTTGCCCGGTTCTGACTCTGTGTCAAAAATCAGGAATATGTATGGGCAGTGCCTCCAAAATCTGGGGTATATGGTGGTCGGAAACTGCTTTTTATGGACCAAAGTATTCAGCGGGAGCTTCATTGGAAAATCAGATGAATATCTTTCCCACATTCTGATTGAGAAGCTATAGAAGTTCATCTGTTTCTTGTAAGATGCGATTCTATGGAAAACTCAAAGCGCATTTTATGCAAAATCAATATTTTTGGTTTATGCCGGTCTTGAGCGATATGACATCGAAAATCGCCCTTATTAAGGTTGGCTTAGTCGTGTCAAAAATTGTGCACTGCCATATTTGAACGACAAATCGGTAATATGAAAGCCGTTACAATGCGCCAAATTTGTCGTAAGAGATTCTGTTGACTAAAAATTTATTTGTAATTCGTAATGTTATGAAATGTCCCTTTGTTTGAGTAGTTAATTCATACTGTTTTGCATAATGTATTACATTTATTGGCCTAAAGGCTTCGTTATACATGTTAAGTTTGAAATAAATAAATAAATAATGGTTTTATTCTCCTGCCTGGGCGACAGCATATTTTTCCGACGATAACGATAACATATTTAGGTTTGGCCGATATGCCGGTATGATATTCGACTTCTTATGAAGGGAAGCTCCCGCTGCCTATTTTACATTCCCAAACCACACTGGTGCCGCATATATTGTTAGCGACACAATTGCCAGCGATTGGCTATTTTATTCTTACTTATCGTATATTGCGCCTATACAAACAATTTGTTTAAAAACTTTTTGCTGACTATATAGGCATATACCTAAAATGTAAATAGATGATGCCCATCTTTGAATTTGGCCTGGATTCAGAAGACACTTATGTGTAAAAGATTAACTTTGTATCTCGAGGATGATGCATATGCTAAATTTTGCTTTAAATTAATTTATTGTATATGCAGTAATAAACAATATATTATATACATTTAGGAAACGAATTTTTAGAAATGATTCAGAATGGTACAGACAGTATCCTTGGTGTAAGAAGTACAAACCAGACCCATTAAAATATTGCTTTTGCAGCTATTGCAAAATTGTCATTAGTAAGACATGCAATCGAATGAAACACAGCCAATCGGGACGCCATGTAGCAGCAGAAGCTGAATATCTACGAAGGCAAACAAAAAAGTAATCCATCAGCAAACAGAAAACTAATACTAGTAACAAATGATTTTTAATCATGTACATATGTATATTTTTATTTTAAGGAAAAAAATCTACATGTCTAAAAATTCCGATGAAACGTATGATTGGGCCGTTGATATAAAATCACAACCAAATTTGTACTATTGCAAATACTGTCGCGTTCGTATTTCAAGACGATACAGCAAGAAGCAACATTCGATTAGTAAAGTTCATCAAATAAATACGAATTTATTTAAAACGACCAGGTAAGCTAATCGATCGAGGTACTAGAAGGGGTTGTGTTATTACGTTTTATTTTCTCGTTGTTTAGAGGAAACCCGTTAAAACAGGAAAGCAATATGGTTGCACACACATCTAACAATCGACGGCAAGATACGCCATCAAAAATTGAAAAGGTTCCTTCGTTTTTAACACTTGTTAAGCAATGGCAGAAGAGGTTTGCTTGGTTAACATACAAACGTTCGGAAATTCGTTCTAATTACGCATATTGCAAGATTTGCGAACAATCAGTTTTTTTGCGGACAATAAAGAGCGTAATAAAACATCAGCGTTCCGGTAAACACATTCGTACAGCAAACCTGCTTCGTCGACAGAAACTGCAACAACAACGCGAGGAACAGGATGAAGCGAACAAACACTTAACCGGAGGGACAAAACGAGAGATGGAATCTGTGAAATCAAAAGATTCATTACAGGCAAAACCAAAACCAGATTCATTACATACATCACCCGATACGAAAATAACTTCCAATGACATTGCAGACAACTCAATTATTGAAGATTTACAAAAACGGTATTCCTGGATACAGAGGTCTACGAAACCCAATTACGGACACTGCGAATACTGTAACGAAAACGTCAGTCTTAAACCAATGTTGTTGAGAAACCACAGCAATTCGAGAAACCATCGACAATTTGTCATAAAACATCGTGTAAATGAAACAAAAAGAGAAAAGCGACCACATAGCGAATCGAATACCAACGCAGAAGATGTTGAAGACAACGATGTCATTTTAATTGAAGATAATCCCGAAGAAATATTAATATCTGAACAAGATGACAACTGGACCGTTAAGTATGTTACCCCTGTATTTATTATATAATTTTTCTTGTCAAAGGATACAGCCAAAATGGGATTCATAATTTATTAATAACCCTAATTATACTTGGAAATTGAACGTAAGAATGCGTGAAAATATGAAATGAGTCTTCGCTTTTGGTACATTATTTTGCCACTTAAAATTTTTTGAATTTCAAATATTTCACGTTGATACAAAGTTGGACACAAAAATTCAGACTTTACCTGTTTCTGTTTCCAAGCAGTACATTATTTAATATAAATTTCAGTCATATTGCGCGCGTTCGCACCAAGGTTCTAGCTTTTGATAATATGTCACTCACATGAAACGCGACTCTTTATATATAAATATTTGAAATATTCATAATTTAATTTATCTATCGTAAAGTGTACATTACAATGAATTTGTTATGTTTTTTAGGTCTGAGAATATGGACGAACATGAAGCTTTAGATTTTCTTCTTCAACGTTCAAATAAATCTGCCAGAAGCCCACATCAATTCGATGGTGGGCCATCAAAAAGACTTAAGAAATCTGGACAGCTTCATCGACTCAATGAAAATAACGCTTCTTTAGTCGCAAGTATTTTATCGACACCCTTGACACTGGCATCATATTTGGGACCATTAATACAACAACAGATCCAACAAGCCACCAGCACGCAATGCCAGCAATCGGCAACTCAACCCACTACATCGGGTAATTCAACACTTGAGAACTCTTTCGACTTATTTTTCAAAAGTGTCAGTGAAACCATGAAGAATCTGCCCACGGATCTGGCTGCGGAAGGTAAAGTAAAAATTATGCAAATTATTTGTGATTTAGAGTTGAAAGCCTTGAAAAGACAAGAGTTGTCACATCCAGTGGATGTTGAAATTGCCACCAGTGACAGCAGTTCCAATTTGAATACTAACCACCTATCTGAAACAGTAAGCACTTCAGAAAGCAACCGGGCAGAAATACCCGAAGTAAATGCAAGCAATCCAGCACATAACAAAGGCACTTCTTCTCAACAATACGAAGATACATTTACTGAGACTATTATAACCCCCATACCTGATGAAACTCCTGCAAATAGTCAACATCAAAGTGTAAAATCACACACGACCACTACAACATCTATTCCACAAGCAAGTGAATCAAATAGGGACGTCAAGATGAATATCAGTCCGTCACCTATAATTGGTGTAATAGATAAAAGTGGTATACACCCGCTGCAATTTAAGAACACTACGCTAGTTAAACACATTTCAAAACAGTGTATAAACCCTACGAACACCACCATTGTCTCCAATTCTGCAATACGATGCATACCCCTTAAGAGCCTATCGCAAAGTGTGGGTTCAGAAACAAATACTAAGTTCAAACGCATTCAGATGCCAATGACGACATCTCCCACAATTCCTCACCACAGTCCCCAGAGCCCTCCAAATATAAATTCTCATGAGAGGCCTAAGGGAAGTATTATAAACGTTCGTAATATACAGATAGCAAAAAGATCTTCTTTAGTACAACAATCGACTGCCCCTGCGACCGTTACGACCAATAGCATTTCCGGTCTAAACTCTATATATACGGTGACGGCACCAAATATACAACGTTGGACAACTTCTCAAAATGGAACAGTACAAGGTTGTACAATGAAAAAACAAATTCCAGTAAATACCTATCATATACCGAAGCAAAATATACCACAGACATCGAGGACTTTTACCCACTGATGTTATGCTGCTATTACTTCTTTAATTTTTAAAGCAACCGATGTGTTTTTATTTCATATACATTTTAATTTGTTGAGTATAGTATAGAAAATTGATATATCGACAAATTACATTGTTATATAGGTTTGAACGAACTGATCGTACGATACACGGAAATAGGGTTTCCTAACCAATTTAAATCATTTGTCGACATGTGGAATTTTGTAAAAAGCACATATTTCAATATTGGAAGATATAACTTAAGCTACTTTGTATAGAAGTAAATGAGTACGAATTTCTATCGTACAACAAAATAAATTTTATTTCAAATCTAAAATGCATTTTATTATCTGGACATTTTGGTATGTTTATAACAATGAAATATTTTCTTATATTTTCAAATTTCGCCAAAATACTCGACTCGACTGTATTCAAAAAGTTTTGGAAAATTTCGTGCAAATAAAAATATATGTATATAAATCTGGGCAATATGAATTGGGCACGTCTTGTGCCAAAAAAAGTTTCGTCCCATTCGGATCATAAAGGTGAATTGTAACTTTTTTAAAATAATATTTGGACGGAGGGACATGCATAAATGGACTAAGTAATTCGATGTATATACTAAAAAGTACATGCAAATACATGTACCACGTGCCACAGTCTGGTGAAGGATACTAACACTTTTTTGCACAAAATATCATACAAAATGAACAGCTGAATTCAATTTTAGAGATGTGTTTTTTGTTTTATTGATATTATCGATAAATAGTCAATCAATGTCGAAGTGATGTCGACAAAGAAACGTCGTCGACAACGACGACGACTTACGGAATAGGGGTGATTGCTTTTAGATCCCTCGAACCAAAATGGTTCATACAATTTGGAGTCGGTTTGCACATGTGCTGCCCACAAAAAGAACTATTTTTCGATTTTTATAAATCCAATATATAGGGAATGAAATGTCCGCTTTGACCCAAACTTTATACACGTTTTTACCAATCTTAAATGAAGTCTAAAGATGGGACTTCATGTCCGAAGATGGGGCCCGTCGGCCACTCCTTCTGGTACCTCCCCCACAAAGTGTCAAATTGTCCAATTTTACACATCGTAATACTTTTAATACACCTAGATTATGTCCGAAGATGGGACCCTCAGTTCACTACTTGCCTCTTGCGGGGGGTATACATGTGCCGGCAACATCGAGTGACATTTTTATACTTGTTTTGTTTATTAAAAATTAAGACATTTTAACTCTCCAATTAAAATTAATCAATTAGCTTTGTTTGAGGGAAGATTATATTTAGTGTTTATATTTGTTGTTTTTTTTTTGTTCAGTCATGCTTCAGGCTTAGAGGATCGGCATTGGGTAAACCATTCCCGATACCACACTTTTTGCTGGAACTATGTTCTTTTATATTCTTCTGATCCGATATAATTGGAACCAATTCAAATTCTTTTTCTGTTCCTAAAATCTTGGAAGATTTTTGAGTAAAGTCATTGTCAGGTCTCTCGTATATAGTATGACTTATATCGCTGATTTGTGTTGTGTGTACAAAATTGTAGATGGTTGGATTTCGTTCATCAGTCTTTACGTTTTTCCGCCGGTCCTGATGCTCATTGGCTTCCATAGCTTGATCTATTGGGCTATGTCGAGTACGGAAAGGAAACTCAAATTTTATATCTAAAAATTTGCACAATTCCTCAATATCATCTAACGCGGCCATCATTTCTGGTGGTGACTGTGGGGGAGTACATTTCCGTATCGTTTCCAAATAAGATCTCAGCTTTGTACGAGCCACCGTTACAACCGTCTGCACATTCCTTAATTCTAGCCGCATTAATTCAATGTTCTACGAAAATTGAACGAGAATTAGTACTTCACCAACAAATTATGTAATAAGAAAATACATAATCCTAGCAGTGTAACATTTTTAAATCATGATTATATACATACGATTAACCTAAGCACACATATGAGTTTAAAAACAGTTATAACCTGAATATTTTCTTGGGAATGTTTTATCGAATTATGTACATTGTCTTTATAGCCGTCCATGGCCATTGTGGCATAATTGCTGTCCTCCGACACTGATCTAAGTTTAGCAAATAAGGCTTCTTCTGCTGCGTTCCGTTCCTGTATTGCGGTTACGTGCTTTTCCAATGAACTTTTTTCTGCTGCGTGGAGTCCACGTGGCTCCTTTTTATCCTTTTTGGAGGCAGTATGACGCACATTACCTGGCATTGTGAAATATACGAATGCATTTGACGGTCTATCGTATTTCTTGGGAATTTTCATATGCAAGGCATGTCTCAGGATCAGATTGATATCTACATTTTGTGGATAACGCATTAAGAATGTGAGGCAAGTAGTGTAGTCGCTTAGCAACACTGCAAATGAATGAGAACATTACTTGAATACTCATAATTGCTTACAACTATACATACATTTATCCCGTATTCTAATAAGCATGGCAACAAGTATGTAGTTCGGCAAATCAAAATGATCGCTATCTGCGAAAATTGCATCCCACAAAACAAGCAGATCTAGCAATGCAAATTCCCGACCAAATAACAGCCGTAACCATCGTCTGAAATTAATTCAATAAACAATTAGCGCCGAAATAAAACTTCAGTATGATCCATAGTTTGCTTGCTTACATTCCAAATATATGCAACGGAATATCCAACTTGATTAAATAATTGTGTAGGTGCAAATCCTCTTTGGCTAAAATTTTGTCTCTGATAAAGTTTAATTGACTTATTATTTCTATTTCTGAGGCATATGAAGATGTTTTCTACAATTTATAGAAAAACTAAGTGCTACAAAAATTTGCAAATCAAATGCGATTAGAAACACATACCTCTGCATCTGAAGAAATGCCATCATTTTCATTTGTTGTTGGAATGGGGCCACGTACACGATAGTACGACTCAATAGACGCCATGACACGAGAAAATACGAAACTAAAAATTAAATAAAATGTTACAAAACTACTAGTTAGAGTAGTTTATTCAAAACATTACTACGAATCTGCTTCTAAATATGAAGGATTCATTACTTCCATCAATGTTTCACTGAAAGTATAATTTTTTGTTAATAAAATGTGTGTTCTATCTAAAAAAGCCAACATGTATACCCACTCTATATCCGAGTCATTAGCGATTTCCTTGAAATGTAAAAAACTCTGATGATCTCCGTACATGACAAATAGAATTGGTGCTAGGATTTCGTGCATTCCTTGAAGGTAAGACATGTATGGATGGTCTCGGGCGTAATAAAAAAGGATATTGCTCTATTGAAAATAATATTGATTAAAAGTTATACTCAAACTTTTAGCTCAAACATAAATCATTTTCCTCGATAATATAATTTTGCACTTTTGAATGTCCCTCTTACTTCGTTAAAGTTTTTAAAATAGTTATACTTATCTAATTTTGTTTTCACCAAATTACTAATAACAAAAATCAAAATAATGAAGTTCGTCGGAAAACAAAGAACACTTGGTATGAAATGTTTAGGGGACCACCATGTACTTTAATTAGATCAATAAGTGTAGATTAGCGTGTCCATGTTCATATCTGAGCTGTATTTATATTTGGAATGAGTGATCTACCATTATATTTTGAATCGACGGTTTACGAAAAAAATCCACTCCAGGAAAAGTCCTAACCACATCTTGGCGGATTATAGCAAGTAGTTCTTGATCACTGAAGTACTGATTCCAAATACTCTAGAAAAATTATAAGGCGATAGCGATAAAAATATGTGTTTATAATGAATTATCTCATCGTGAGAGCAAGTACAAACCTTTGATGACTGCGACAACGGATCGTCATCCACATTTTTCAAATTCTGACCTGTATGATGGGGGTTTTTGGCAAATTCTTTTTTTAATTTTTCGTACCTGTATAAAGTAGATGGAAATTATTAAGGTTCTATCTAATAGTTGAACTATACCTTTGCCTCTGTTTTACTTTTTCGAGGCTCCAAGAAGTATGATCCTCACTTAGAACTCTCAGCAGGATAGACCAAAACACACTACGAAATTTTGAATATTGCAATGCGCCATCAAATGCCTGCTCTCGAATTTGCTCCGGATTTTTAGACAAGCATTTCAAAAGATCGCACCATTCCTTCCTTTAAATAAAATAACGCATAAAATCCTGATACTTGCGACGTACGTCCTAAGAGCTCCTTAAAATATCCCAGATAGCGAAATAATAACAATCATTACCTATATCTCTCCTTTGAGTTTAGTGATGTTCCTACTGCTGCTTCAATTTCTTCTACTTCTTCATAAATTTTATCCGAATTGTATACGTTGGCTTCTATCCCGGCCATAGTCATTTTTACTTTGTATCAATGGCTCTAGCTTTCATTTACGCACCTGATGCGGCACCTTGGCAAATCTGCCTTGCTTATTATTGTATTTTATTAAATAAAAACTTCCTCTTGCAACGAATAGAGGAACAAGGAGAAAATGGGTGGTAAATAGCGAACTCGAAACGAAATGACCGTTAACTGCTTTGTTTACGAATGAAGGTGATGTATAACGCCGATATCATCATTTAATTTGGATGAGATATGGAGGGATGGAAATTGTTCAACGGAAAGTGAAGTGAGGGAACTACAAAGTCATAAAAGTATAAAGATAAGTCAATCGATACGTCAACAATTTCCAATAGATGGTTTTCCCTCTGTTGTTACCATATCATAACAACAGAGCAAACAATATTAAACGTTTTAAACGCTATATCGCAAGCTTATAAAATAAAAACATATTTTTTGAGTACAGATCTCTAATTTTATTTACATTTTATACACACATTATCGCGTATTGGCGTTTTTATTTGGTCTGTTCCCGTACTGCAAGAATCTACGAGTTTTTACTATTTTTCTCGATATCATAAAGTAAAAAAGTGTTATCGTAGTAAAAAATAGTAGATTCTTGCAGTACGGGAACAGACCAATTGTTAACATGCCTCTGTTATGCCTGATTCCCCTGGATATTTTTTCATAAACTATTTTGCCGAAATGCAACGGGAGCATTCTGCTTAGCCCTTAAGCGGTGTACACACTAGCACTTTGGAGAGACAGCTTTATTATCGATTACTGACTGTCCATGGCCCAAGATCTAATGCCATGTTCTGACGGGCATTCGAACAACGTAGTTCGCTCTCAGAATTACGTACATGAATTAACCCGTTCATACAACACTATTCTTAATTCATGTCATCAGAGTTTTTTTATTTCAAACTTTTTGTTTCTTGTTTTACACCAAAATTGTAACATATTTGCGTGGATCACATATAGATCTAAATAGAAAAAATAATTCTCTTTCTCCTGACTATAATATCAAATCCTATCTCTTTACTTTTAATTCATGTTTTCCATTTTTTCTGAAAATATTGTTGTTTTCAATACATTTGTATATTTTCTCAACTCAATTTCACATTTAAAAAATTGGAGAATTTTTGTTTGGGTTTCCCCACTTTTGTTTCTCGTTTTGTACGCTAATTAGAACCAAGGGGAAAGAAATGCATATTGCATTATGTAGACAACAAAATGTACATTCTTCTGCATATATAAAAACTAGAATTTTGGTTACTTTTCATTCATCATTTTCAATTTTACTGAAAAAGTTTAAAAAATTTAAAAATTTTTTATGCTGTCAAATTTAATTTATTTTCGATAAATTCTCTCAATTGTTAGTGATGGGACAATATTCTTGGTGATTCAGAGAGTGATTCGAATTGAACAACGTACAAAAGTCGGTGTTCGCTCAGACAATTTTGTATGGGGAACTAAGTAATTACTTCATAATTAAGGGACGAACAACGAATGAGAGAGCGAACAACGCTCGTCTGTACATGGCATAACGTGAAGTTAGCGACATCGCTAACTTTCGATAACAAATTTTTTATCGAAATTACAGGGTGACACAGAACATCACAATTTCACATTTAACACTATTTTTATCAACAGAGATAGCGCAGAATATTATAAAATAATATTTTTTAAAATTATTAACAAAAATGTTAACATAATTCATTAGTAATGAAAAATAATAAAGAATACGAAAATGTTGAAACATATTTTATTATAATCTAAAACTAAAGTATTACTAAATCACAAACATTTTAATCCAGTGAATCAGGAGAGATGTCCGTCTCTGGAAGCCTCCCTATACAAACCTCGAACATAGTGATGGTACCAAATGAAAGAGGGAGTCTCTACGAGTATTTTAGTATGCACCATATGTTCAGATTCAGTTTTTTGTAGAACAAAGTTGCTGAATTTCTGATTTCCAACTGGTGGTCAGGACACCAAAATGGCTCTGGAAGCCTCCGTATACAAACCTCGAACAAAGTAAGGGTATCAAACGAAAGAGGGAGTCTCTGCGAGTATTTTGGTATGCACCATATGTTCAGATTCAGTTTTTTGAAGAACAAAGTTGCTGAATTCCTGATTTCCAACTGGTGGTCAGGACACCAAAATGGCTCTGGAAGCCTCCGTATACCAACCTCGAACAAAGTAAGGGTATCAAACGAAAGAGGGAGTCTCTGCGAGTATTTTGGTATCCACCATATGTTCAGATTCAGTTTTTTGTAGAACAAAGTTGCTGAATTTCTGATTTCCAACTGGTGGTCAGGACACCAAAATGGCTCTGGAAGCCTCCGTATTCAAACCTCGAACACAATGATGGTACCAAACGAAAGAGGGAGTCTCTGCGAGTATTTTGGTATGCACCATATGTTCAGATTCAGTTTTTTAAAGAACAAAGTTGCTGAATTCCTGATTTCCAACTGGTGGTCAGGACACCAAAATGGCTCTGGAAGCCTCCGTATACAAACCTCGAACAAAGTAAGGGTATCAAATGAAAGAGGGAGTCTCTACGAGTATTCTGGTATCCACCCTATATAAACTTCGAACATAGTGATGGTACCAAATGAAAGAGGGAGTCTCTACGAGTATTCTGGTATCCACCATATGTTCAAATTCAGTTTTTTGTAGAACAAAGTTGCTGAATTTGATTTCCAACTGGTGGTCAGGACACCAAAATGGCTCTGGAAGCCTCCCTATACAAACCTCGATCAAAGTGATGGTACCAAATGAAAGAGGGAGTCTCTACGAGTATTTTGGTATGCACCATTTGTTCAAATTCAGTTTTTTGTAGAACAAAGTTGTTGAATTTCTGATTTCCAACTGGTTGTCAGGACACAAAAATGGCTCTGGAAGCCTCCTTATATAAACCTCGAACATAGTGATGGTACCAAATGAAAGAGGGAGTCTCTACGATATCCACCATATGTTCAGATTCAGTTTTTTGTAGAACAAAGTTGTTGAATTTCTGATTTCCAACTGGTGGTCAGGACAAAAAACTTGCTCTGGAAGTCTCCCTATTCAAACCTCGAACATAGTGATGGTAACAAAAAAAAAAAAGAAGTCAGAAATTCTCAAAATGTAAAATAATATACATTACTTTGCACTTTTTGCCATATAACACAATTCATTAAAATTTTAAAACTGAATATTAGCAAATTAAATTTATGAAAAAAATTGGAATCATATGTCAGCATGAGACTACCTAGCGTAATTATGCCATGGATTTAGCATAACTTAAATCACTTTGTAAACATAATAAAATTAATTTCAAATTAAATCACATTTTAATGCTTAGGTTTAAACTACAATTCAAATTGAAAGAGAATTGCAGTATGTTTGCGATAGAAGCCATGGCCCAAATATCAGGCAATTCAGGTTAATTTCTGAAAATGTACAAAAAGGTTTTCTGTGGTGATTTCATATTAACAAGTAATAAGTAGGGGAGAGGGGGCACCTCTGAACACTTTTTTCTTTGAAGCCTCATAAAATTTTTTATGTTATAATTTTTGGTTTCTTATAAGTTTTAACTAAGAGGTACATATGTAACCTTCAAAATGAATATACATATGACATACTTTAAGCTTGATATACATATTTTATTACTGTTTTAATGGACGAAGTCAAAGTGTTCAAAACTGCCCCCAGGGGGGCACCTTTAAACACAGCTCGGTATTTTTGAACGACATGTTTTTTTACAGTGTTTATGTTCAAATATATATGTATTGTATTCATATATTGGTCTGTTCCCGTACTGCAAGAATCTACTCGATTTTAATATTTTCTTCGATATCATAAAGGAAAAAAGTGTTATCGGAGTAAAAAATAGTAGATTCTTGCAGTACGGGAAAAGATCATATATCAGAAATATATTAATTTATTAAAAAATATATACCCGGTTATATCAGGTTCAACGAATCCTGTTAATATAAAATGGGTATCATTTTAAAGGTTATAAAAATACCTTTCAATTGAGTGGTGATACCCATTTTATATTAACAGGATCCGTTGAACCCGATATAACCGGGTACCCGAACCCGAACATCCGGGTCAAATAACCGGGTAACCAGGTACGTCCCCCAAGAAAAAAAGATATCCCCATAGTTAGGGTAAAAATACCTACCTCTGGAAAAAATTTCAGAAAAATCTGATCGTTTTTACTAAACTAGAGTTGTTCCAATTTTTTATTTTTAAGATTTTAAATTGGCTGGTAAATGAATACCAATGCTTGTTAATATTTGTAACTTTGCACATACACCTAAACAACAATTTTTACTGGTCAAAGCAAATGTGAATAGCACTAATTTAGGGGAATTCCCTTTTTTACACGGCTTCTGCTGGAACCAATCTACCGTGTAAAAACAGACTAAGGTGTATATATTTGAAGATTTAAAAAGGAAGAAAAATAAATTACAAAAATTGTTTGTTGTTTTTGTTTGTGATCACAGAAAAGTCCTTATTTTTGATGGCGGACACGATAACTCAAAAACTAATAATCCAATCGATTTCAAAATTTGGGATGTTTTCTGTGAGTGTATGAACTAGGATAAAGTCAATCGGTGAAGATCTTACTTATTTTTTAACTTAGTTTGTGGTGGACTCGATGGTATGAAATTCCTTGTCATCATGATCCCCCCGAAACAACGCCTGTACTTGGATCATGTCCATTTGCACAAAAATTCACTGTTCATTTCGTTGTGTCGCTCATACAAGCGTCGTTGATTGAAATAAAAACGACAAGCATGCACGTATAGACACACAACAAGCATGGACTATTAATAAGGTCTACAGGGGGTAAATTCATGCCTAATACTACATTTACACTGTACTAGATTTAGTAAATGGAGTAGATCTAAATTGTTCTAATATACATACTATTTTATGCTTAAGTCTTCCCTTTTTATCTTTTAAAAACTAAGGCAATTTTTCAACATTTTTTAAATATATTGAATTAAAAAATGAAC